CATCATTGTTGTTTGGCGGGCCGGGCTGGATTTGAACCCGCCACCTTAGGTGTATGTGGCTGGCACCTTAGCCGCTTGAGCCACAGGCGCTGAGCCACCAGGATTGTTAATTATCTTCCTATGATTACTTATCTTTCCCAAGCAGAATATTGTAGTGGCTGGAGGACAGACTCAGGACTCAGGCAGGGCTGGCTTTGAATCTTACTGGCTAGCTGTGTGATGCTAGGCGAGAGGGTTGTCTCTCACTGAGCCTCACTTGCCCCCTCTATGTGATAGGACAGGCACATGCTAAGCAGCACTATGGGAGGCAGCACAGCATCTCAGTCAAGGGCATGGATGCTTGAGCCACCTGCCTGGGGCAAAGCTGTGGCTGTGGGCCTTACCAGTTGGGTAGCCTGGTGAAGTGACTTATCTCTCTGTGCCTCCATTTCTTCTTCATTTAATGGGCATGATAATAGTACTGACCTCATATGAACTTCTTGAAGATGAAGATGTGTAATTTATTTAGTTTCAAAATTGCTGATCTAGCAAACCTAACTAAGATTCGGTATTTGTTCATTTATCTTTTGAGGCAGAGTCTCACTATGTTACCCTTGGTAGAGGGCTGGGGTGACACAGCTCACAGCAACCTCAAACTCTTGGGCTTAAGTGATTCTCTTGCCTCAGCCTCCCAAGTAGCAGTGCCCGCCACAATGCCCAGTTATTTATTTTATTTTTTTTTTTGGTTGCAGTTGTCATTGTTGTTTTAGGAGGCCTGGGCTGGGCTCAAACCCACAAGGTGCGGTGTATGTGGCCCGTGTCCTACTCATTGAGCTACAGGCTCTGAGCCTCAGTATTTATTTACAGGTCTTCAGTTTTACTTTGGTTAGTTATCTCTCCACCTTTGCATTGGGTATTTTTTTACATGATTTAAAGTCATTTTCATTTATCTCTATGCATATTCCATTTCGGACATTTCCCCCTCTCAATTTTTTTTAAACAGAGTTTTGGTCTGTTGTCCAGTCTGGACTGCAGTGTCATGATCATACTCACCAAAGCCTCAAACTCTTGGGGTCAAGTGATTCTCCTCCAGCATTAGACTCTCCAGGAACTAGAACTACAGGAGCATATCACTCGACCAGCTAAGGTTTTTTTTCTGTTTGTTTGTCTGTAGAGACAGGGTCTCACTGAGTTGTCCAGGCTGGTCTACTACTCCTGGTTTCGAACAATCCTCTTATCTCAGTCTTCCAAAGTGCTAGAATTACAGGCATGAGCCACTGCACCTGAACTTCCATGCTTTTTAAAAATGTATTTTGGCTGAGGCGGGTGGATTGCCTGAGCTCATGAGTTTGAGACCACCCTGAGCAAGCACAAGACCCCATTTCTACTAAAAATAAAAAACAGAGACAGAGGATTGCTTGATCCCAAGAATTTGAGGTTGCTGTGAGCTATGATGCCATAGCACTCTACCAAGGCTGACAAAGTAAGACTCTGTCTTTTAAAAAAAAAAGTGTATTTTGGGTCTGGGCAAGGTGGCTCATTCCTGTAATCCTAGCACTCTGGGAGGCTGAGGCGCATGGATTGTTTGAGTTCAGGAGTTCAAGACAAGCCTCAGCAAGATCAAGAACCCATCTCTACTAAAAATAGAATAATGAGCTGGGCATTGTGGAGGCCATCTGTAGTCCCACCTACTTGGGAAGCTGAGGCAAGAGAATCACTTGAGCTCATGAGCTATGAGGTTGCTGTGAGCTATGATGATGCCACGGCACTCTAACCCAGGGCATCAGAGTGAGACTCTGTCTCAAAAAGAAAAGAAAACAAAACAAAAATAAAATAAAAATGTATTTGGGGAGGTTGTATATGAAATATTCATATAGCATTAAAAGTTAGTCTTATCTTCAGTTCACTTGGTCTTGCCAGATTTCTTGCCCAGGGCCTAATGCCAATTAATGCTCTCTCCCCAGCCAAGAATGAGAGTTCCTGTTTCCTCCTGTCCTTGGGAACACTTAGTATCATCGGACTTTTACAATTCTCCTAGTCTGATGGGTGGGAAGTAATCTCTCACTGTGGTGCATGTATTTGCATTTTTTAAATAACTGGCAAGCTTCAAACATCCTTGTTCCTCTTTTTGGCCATTTAGGTTTCAGAGGAGAGATTTGGAGTCTTCTGCTTTAGCCAGAGTGTAGAGCTGGCTCTTTTCTTCCCAGGCAGGGTTCAGTCTCAACAAAGTGCTGCAGGCTATGAGATGGGACCCTAGTTGTTCATGGGAGAGGCTGAGGCCTAGAAGAAACAAGGACTGGTCTGGGGTTACCCAGCTATGAGTGCCAAAGGCAGGCTTGAGCGTAGGATTCCTGGGTCCTGGGTCCTTTTCCCAGCAGAGGGAGCCCCAGGCAGGGAGTAACTCAGTAGGCCACAGTGCCCAGATGGATCCCAGCTGGGCCTCAGGAGCTGCTGCTGGAGAGAAGGATCCTCTGGAAGGCCCATTGCCCCACC